TTTAAAAATTAAAAATAAAACCCAGAAAATGGCACCCTAATAAAAAATAATACTATGCTAAGTGTAATTTTGTCTGGAAATCAATAGATCGACTAAATGGTGCTCTGTTGTTGTCCTGTGTTATCAAATGGAACATTTTTTCTTAATGGAAGCATGTATTTCTTTCCTTTGTGTGTGTGTGTGTCTGTGTGTGTGTACATGTGTAGGAGGTGTGCACATGTGTACATGCTAAAGTCAGAGGTCAACTCCAGCTGTTGTTCCTCAGGTGTCATCTTGGTTTTTTGTTTGTTGGAATGGTTAGCTTTTATTCCTTGAAACAGTTGGAGTTATTAAGAGATTTCAGTATAAATTTTAAGCACAAGGGTTAAGAGAAAGGCACTCAGGAAGAATGTTGAGTGTGAGCTTCTCAAAGGAGAGTCACCCCACCTTGTTTTTGTTTTTGTTTTGTTTTGTTTGTTTTTGGGTGGGGGTTTTTGGTCTTTTTGAGACAGGGTCTCCCTGTAGCCCTAGCTGGCCTGGATTCGCTATGGAGACCAGGCTGGCCTCGAACTCACAGAGATCCATCTGCCTCTGCCTCCTGAGTGCTGGGATTAAAGGCATGCGCCACCACGCCCATGCCAATTAACGTCGTTTCTGGGTGGGCTTGAACCACCAACCCACCTTGTGTTTTTTAAAAAAATTATATTTATTTGCATTTTATGTGTATAAGTGTATTGCCTGCATGTATGTAAGTGCACCCATGTCATGCAGTGCCAAGGAGATCAGAAGAGAACATTGGATTCCCCTGGAACTGGAGTTACAGACAGTTGTTAGCTACCATGTGGGTGCTAAGAATTGAGCCCGGGTCCTCTGGAAGAGCAATCAGTGCTCTTAACCGCTGAGCCATCACTCCAGCCCCCACCACCACCACCTTGTTTTTTGAAAAAGAATCTCTTACTGAGCTCACCTATGCTGCCTGAGCCAGCAAGCCCTAAGGATACACCTGTCTCTGCATTCTTATCACTGGAATTACAAGGCTGAGCCAATAGGCCCAGATTTTTTTTAATGTAGGTCTGGGATCTGATTCATGCTTGCAAGGCAAGCACTTTACTTACTGATCTATCTTTCCCAGTCCCAAAACATGTATTTCTGTTCCAGAACCAACAGTCTAGCCTTCTTCACATATAAGAACTGCACTTTTAGAAAACATTTAGCACCTTTTAAAACACTCTATAAGTCAGGCATATCGGCACATATAATCCTAGCTACTTAGGAAGTTAAAATGGAAAAATCAACACTAGCCTGAGAAGCATAGGGAAACTCCATATTAAAAAAAAAAAAGTTTATCCAGGTATGGTGGTACATGCCTTTAGTCCCAGCACTCAGAAGGCAGAGGCAGGCAGATCTCTGTGAGTTCAAGGCCAACATGGTCTACATAGCAAGTTCCGGGTCAGCTGGGGCTACAGGGAGACCCTGTCTCAAAAAGACCAAAACAATAAAATAAAATAAACTTTTATAAAGTATCATTTTAAAATACAAAGGCCAGAGATCTTTACAGAGAAATAAAATAATTACTCTTAAGCATCTGGTAAGGACTTAATTATGAATCCCATAATAAACCTACAATCTTTTAGATATCAATCATAGAAAAAAATTATAATAGCTATCACTGGCAAAACAATACAGAGATATCCAAATATCCAAGAGTGTGTCAGGCAGGATACACGATCTACCTGGAAGCCAGAGCTAAGGACACTAATTTCAATTCAGCAAATGAATCATGTTAGGACCTTGAGAAACTTCGCTTTCATTTATCTGCCTAAAAAGGAAAATAGTAATAAATAGATGCTTCTAGAATAAATCTTTAAAATCTGAGCAGGGAGGAGTAAAAAGAGGAGATAAAGAAAAGGGGAAAAACATCATATTGAAAAAGAGCTGAATTATTATGCTGGCCTATGTTAAAAACAATAAGTTTGCTTTAGAAAGCATGCAGTCTAAGAATAACAATATATTGATACAAATAACTCAGGCATCAAGATAAACAAATGCTTTGTTGGAGTTGAAATTATTATCCCTCCTCTCAGATTTATAGGATAGATAGGAAAAGAATGTATCTGGGTGTGGTAATGTCTGCCTATGATCCCAGTCCTGGAAAGCCTGAAGCAGGAGGAACAGGGGTTGGAGACTAGCCTGGGCTATATAGCAAATTTCAGGTCAACTTGAACTACATCAGGAGACCTGCTGAGAGATAAAGGGAGAAGGAGAAGGAAGAAGAGGGGGAAGGGAGGGGAAGAGAGGGGTGGGAGAAGATGTGAGAGACAGAGAGAGAAAGACAGACAGAAAGGGACACCCAGAGAAAGCACACTAGGGAGATGGTTCAGTTGGGAAAGTGCTTGCGTTGCAAGCATTAAGAGCTGAGTAAGTTCAATCCCCAGAACCCAAGTAAAAAAGCCAGGCATGGCAGCACACCTATGATTCCAGCACTGGGGATGGGGAGAGAAGAGGATCCCTGGGACTTGCTGGCCAGTCAGTCCAGTCAAATCAGCAAGATTCTGGTTCAGTGAGAGAACTTGTCTCAAAAAATAGGGTGGAGAGCACCTAAGGGAGACATCCAACTTCTACCTCTCTGGTCCCCACAGGTACACACACCTGCACACACATGTGCATACACATAAGGATGGGGGTGCAGGGAGAAGAAACAAAGGGTAGAGAGAAAGAAGAAGTTGAAGGGGAGGGGAGGAAGAGAAGAAGAAGGGCAAGCTCATGCTCCTACGAGCAAGCAGGAGGTCAGAGAGGTCTCCCAGGTCATGACAAGGCCTTTGGATTTTACACTGGAAAAATGTGTAAAAAAGGAAACAAATTAATTTAGGAAAGCTATATAAAGAAAAAAAGCTAAATGCAGTATCAGGTGTGCTTTTGAATTTAGTATCAAGCCAATGTATTACATATTTTAAAATAATAAAGGCTGGAGAGATGGCTCAGGTGTTAAGAGCACTTGCTGCTCAATCATGAGGACTTGAGTTCAGATCCTAGCACCCATGTCCAGCAGCACACAATGCCTATAACACCAGCTCCAAGAGATATATTACACCCTCTCTGGCCTCCACAGGCGTCCACACATGTATGTGCACATAAACTCACGCAAATACACATAAATAAATCTTTAAAATAATAATTAGGGCACGGAGGGGAAGTGAAGGTACACAGAGGGTAATGGGGCTCCCTCCACTAGTGGGAGAAAGGCAGCCCAGATATAGAGGAAAAGGTCCCAGAGCAGAAGCCAGAGTGTTCCTGGATTCTAATAATGGAATCCTCCTGACTAATGTGCAACTTTGAGCCACTGACTTCTTCCCCTCAGATATGAATTAAATTATCTTCTCTACCTTACCACTGGGCTGTGGAGCAAACCACAGGAACATCTTATTTCGCCTTCCCAAGGAACATCTATCTATTCGCTCAAAGCATCAGTTCAAACATCATCTCCTTAAAGCCTTCCTACCTTTTCCAGCCCAGAAGGAATTAATGGCTCCACCTACTGAGTTTTAAAGAGAAATGTCTAGTACAGCACCTATTTGCTTCAGTTACTCCCAAAGACAAAAA